GCAGCCCACACCCGCTGCCAGTGCCAGCGCCTGTCCACCTTCGCCGTGCTGGCCCAGCCGCCCAAGGACCTGGTGAGTGGGAGGGAAGTGCCCGGGCTGGCCAGGAGAAGAGGTTCCTGGGTGCCAGGGGCCATCTGTGGTGGTGGTTGCGGGGGGAACCTGGGTGATCCCACGTGGCGTCTGAGTAGGTGTACTTGTGGGAGGGCACAAGGAAGTCTGTGCCCCTGGGATGGTGTGCACAACGATCACACACTCCTGGGGGTGTGTGGAAGTGGGTGATTGCCTGCATGTACACACACGTGTGCATCTGGTTGTGAGCGGAAGAGTGTGGGTGACAGCATAAATACGCGTCTACGTATGTGACTGGGTCTGCTCCATCCACGTGTGAAGGCAGCAGTGAGCCCCCTCTGTGTGTGGGCGTGACACAGATGGAGGTGCCAGTCTGTCCTAGACAGGACGTGGGGGAGAGTGAGGGCACCCCTGCAGCTGCCCCCCACCCCCGTGACCCTTCGGACTGTCTGCCCCTCTACCCCAGACCCTGGAGCTGGCGGGGTCCCCCTCGGTCCCCCTTGTGATCGGCTGTGCTGTGTCCTGCATGGCACTGCTCACCCTGCTTGCCATCTACGCCGCCTTCTGGAGGTAGGTGGGATGGTGGGGGGTAGGGGTGGGGAAGGAGGTGTCCAGCCACCCCAGGTTGGGCGGGGCAGCTAGCTTTTCTGTCTGTGCCCACTGTGTCTCCCCCCTTCGCCCCCAGGTTCATAAAGTCGGAACGCTCCATCATCTTGCTGAACTTCTGCCTGTCCATCCTGGCGTCCAACATCCTGATCCTTGTGGGCCAGTCGCGGGTGCTGAGCAAGGCAGGTGCAGGCTCACAGGGGTGCCGGGGTGTGAGAGTGGGGTGAAGGGGGGGACGGCACGCACGTGTGCGTGTGTATGAAACTGAAGTGCTGGATGTGTGTAGACTCTCAAGCCGGGGGTTGTGTGAGGGTGAGTGGGAGCTGGTGTGTGAGCATCCATGCAGGCGCTGGAGAGGGTGGGGGTGTGTGTTCCAGGGAGAGATGTCTGTGTACATCAGTGAACTGAGCGAGTGTGTGCACGTGTGTTGGGCATGTCTGCGGGCACAAGGGAGCCCAAGTGAAGCCTCTTGTGCCCCTTGCCCATGTCTGATCTCTGCTGGCTGTCCCTCTTGTGCCCCCGCGGCCCTCTCTGCCTGTCGCCAGCCCTGCTGGTGCCAGACGTGAGGCCCGCCCGGCCGTGATGTCACAGGCCCTCCTGTTTGTCCCCCTCCCTGGCAGCCCCGTCTGCGCGTGGGCAGCCTGCCCGCCCGCCCGCCCGCCCCTCGATGCCGAGCACCGTGTGCGTGTCACTGGGCCCGTGTCGTGCTGTGTGTGGGTGCAGGAAGACGGGGGTGCCTGGCAGGGCTCTCTTGGGGGGGTGGAGCTCAGGTGGGCGGCCGTGGCAGCACCCAGCAGCAGCGGGCGTGGGAAGCCCGGCGCCTCCCACCCTGGTGGCTGGGCTGCTCAGGGCCACTCCCTGTCTTTTGCTGTCCCCACAGGGTGTGTGCACCATGACCGCTGCCTTCCTGCACTTCTTCTTTCTGTCGTCCTTCTGCTGGGTGCTCACTGAGGCCTGGCAGTCCTACCTGGCTGTCATTGGGCGGATGCGCACCCGCCTTGTCCGCAAGCGCTTCCTCTGCCTGGGCTGGGGTGAGCAGGGCCCATGCTGGACCTTGTCCCTGGGCCTCGGGGGCAAGGGCAGCTGGAGAGCTTCAGCTTTGGCCCCGGCCCTGCTCTCTGGGCACAGGGGTCAGCTGGGCTGGGGGTCTGGGAGGATGAAGGACCCTGAGGACGGGCGGCCATCTCACTCTGGCTCCCCTGCTCCCCAGGTCTGCCTGCCCTGGTGGTGGCCGTGTCCGTCGGCTTTACCCGCACCAAAGGATACGGTACATCCAGCTAGTACGTGGGCCTCCCAGGGTGGGCGGTGGGGGGTCCATGGACCTGATAGGGTTCCAGACTTCTTAGACTGCGATCCTGGCCCATGCCCGCTGTGAGCCTTCAGGCCAGTTGTCCTGTGTCTGAGCCTCAGTTTCCCTGACTATAAAAGGCTGTGCTGGGATTGGATGATCTCAGAACCATTTACTCAGGGATCAGCCTTGTTTGACCCCCGCAGTAGCCTCAGAGGCTTTGTTAGAGGGATGACCGAGGCTCTGCCAGAGCCAGTGGGTCACTCTCACCCTGTCTGGGTCCTGGCCCCATGTGTGATGCGACCTGGCAGCTCAGGGAGCCCTGAGGGATGGCGTTTGAGGGTGGCGGCAAGCCTCCCTGGGTATCTGATGCCCCGTTTCCCCTTCCCCAGCTGCTGGCTCTCTCTGGAGGGTGGCCTGCTTTATGCCTTCGTGGGCCCGGCAGCTGTCATTGTCCTGGTATGTGCCCTTGCAGTGTCTTGGGATGGGCGTGTGGCCCCAGGGGGTCTGCCTCGGTGTCCCTGCCAGGAGGGCATCTGGTGATCCTGTCTTCCCCCACTCCCACTCCACCGGGCCCCCAGGTGAATATGCTCATCGGAATCATCGTCTTCAACAAGCTCATGGCTCGTGATGGCATCTCAGACAAGTCCAAGAAGCAGAGGGCCGGGTAAGGGGAGGGGGGTTGTCTGTGCCAGGCCTCGTGGGCAGTGCTGTAGGCAGGGTGGGCCGCAGCCACCCTTGGAGACTCAGGGCTTGAGGATGCGACTGGGCTCCCTGGCCTTGGGGCATCAAGGGTGCAGGCAAGGTGGGCACCCGCTGTGCTCAGCTGCAGCCCCTCGCCCACCCTAACCCACCTCTCTCTCTCTCATCTGCCCTCCCCCTCCCACCCCACTCTGGGCTCACACCGCCCCACCTCCTCCCATTTCCTGTGTGTCTTCCCCGCCTTCTCCCCTGTCTGTGCCGCCCCTGAGGTCGGAGCGGTGCCCCTGGGCCAGCCTGCTCCTCCCCTGCTCAGCGTGTGGAGCGGTCCCCAGCCCCCTGCTCAGCTCAGCCTCGGCCAGGAACGCCATGTTAGTTGTGCCCCCGTGGGGAAGGGGGGGGTGGGCGGGGGCAAAAAAGTGGGGGGCAGTGCTCGTGGTGGGGGGGAGGAGGGATATCAGCCCAGCACCCTGCCAACTCCTCCCACTCTCAAGGGTGATAGAAAAGGGGGCACGGGAATGAATGTCTGTGCCTTCCAGAATATGCTGGAGTCCTGTGCCCCCCCCCCACGTTGCTCGTGGTGGGGGGGAGGAGGGATATCAGCCCAGCACCCTGCCAACTCCTCCCACTCTCAAGGGTGATAGAAAAGGGGGCACGGGAATGAATGTCTGTGCCTTCCAGAATATGCTGGAGTCCTGTGCCCCCCCCCCACGTTGCTCCCCGCCC